ATTAGGTCACATTGAGTGGTTTGATTTTTGACAATGACTTCCTTGTTTAAGAAAGAACTATAATGGGTTTTAATTGATTGGACAGCTACAAAAAAACAACAACTTTTATTTATTTTTTTTTCATGTTATTTTCCTCAGCTACTGAGGTGTTGTTGGAAAATCTTTGTTGTTAAGATCTTTTATATTTTGTAATAACAAATAAGTACAGATATAGTGCTCTTTGTGATAATCATAAAGCATTGTAACTGTAGAACTTGGAATATTGCAGGACCCTGTGACATTTAAAGTGTGGATGCTATCTGCTAGTTAGATAAAACAGAAGACCAGACATCCTCAAGGTGCTGATTGTCTGTAGGGGCTCTGGTAACAGACACCTCTGTTTAACAAAAGTAGGGGAGAGATTCCTTTAAAACATGTAGTTCGGCACCAGGAGGCGGGGAGGAAAGACAATAAATGGGATGCAGTATTTTGTGTTTGTTTGTTAAACTTTCACTCCATCTGCAGAGATAATGTGCATTCTGTACTATGTCTGTTGAACTATTTGCTATTAGTAAAAAAAAAAAAACTGTGATATCAAAAAAGCAAGCATGTTTCTCTTTTGGTAAGGTTAATATTGTCCCCATCAGGGTTGTTTATCAGTTTGGTTTATTATCTGACTGCCTGACCCAAGTCCATTGGAGAAAAATATAACAAACTGGTACCTACTTACACTCACGGGCCACTTTATTAGGTACCCCATGCTAGTAACGGGTTGGACCCCCTTTTGCCTTCAGAACTGCCTCAATTCTTCATGGCATAGATTCAACAAGGTGCTGGAAGCATTCCTCAGGGAGTTTGGTCCATATTGACATGATGGCATCACACAGTTGCCGCAGATTTGTCGGCTGCACATCCATGATGCGAATCTCCCGTTCCACCACATCCCAAAGATGCTCTATTGGATTGAGATCTGGTGACTGTGGAGGCCATTTGAGTACAGTGAACTCATTGTCATGTTCAAGAAACCAGTCTGAGATGATTCCAGCTTTATGACATGGCGCATTATCCTGCTGAAAGTAGCCATCAGAAGTTGGGTACATTGTGGTCATAAAGGGATGGACATGGTCAGCAACAATACTCAGGTAGGCTGTGGCGTTGCAATGATGCTCAATTGGTACCAAGGGGCCCAAAGAGTGCCAAGAAAATATTCCCCGCACCATGACACCACCACCATCAGCCTGAACCGTTGATACAAGGCAGGATGGATCCATACTTTCATGTGTAGACGCCAAATTCTGACCCTACCATCCGAATGTCGCAGCAGAAATCGAGACTCATCAAACAAGGCAACGTTTTTCCAATCTTCTATTGTCCAATTTCGATGAGCTTGTGTAAATTGTAGCCTCAGTTTCCTGTTCTTAGCTGAAAGGAGTGGCACCCGGTGTGGTCTTCTGCTGCTGTAGCCCATCTGCCTCAAAGTTCGACGTACTGTGCGTTCAGAGATGCTCTTCTGCCCACCTTGGTTGTAACGGGTGGTTATTTGAGTCACTGTTGCCCTTCTATCAGCTCGAACCAGTCTGGCCATTCTCCTCTGACCTCTGGCATCAACAAGGCATTTCCGCCCACAGAACTGCCGCTCACTGGATGTTTTTTCTTTTTCGGACCATTCTCTGTAAACCCTAGAGATGGTTCTGCGTGAAAATCCCAGTAGATCAGCAGTTTCTGAAATACTCAGACCAGCCCTTCTGGCACCAACAATCATGCCACGTTCAAAGTGACTCAAATCACCTTTCTTCCCCATACTGATGCTCAGTTTGAAGTGCAGGAGATTGTCTTGACCATGTCTACATGCCTAAATGCACTGAGTTGCCGCCATGTGATTGGCTAATTAGAAATTAAGTGTTAACGAGCAGTTGGACAGGTGTACCTAATAAAGTGGCCGGTGAGTGTATATATTTTCAGGATTTGGGAACAGAGCAAGCTCTGAGGGAGCAAAGCAGCTATAGACCGTCACATTGCCACCACCATGTCAGGTTATAGGTATAATTTTTCGACCTGTGTTAGCTTTATGAGAAAATTGAAATGTTATACAGCTTAAAAGAACAAACAAAAAAACATCTTGTCAGTCAACAACAGAGTATTTGCTCAAACATCTTTAAAGATTTTTGAATGCTAATCAGTTTTTGAATTTATTTCAATCTGGGCAGGATGTTTTGATTTTTTAGAACATTAATCTCCGCCTCTAAAAACAAGTAGGTCAGTAATAACCAAAACTGGGTTCTTTCCAGCCAAGCTGTTGGGCTATTTTAGCACTGGACCAGCACTAGTGGATTTTAACTCAGCAAGATGGGGTGGTCCATTATAACCCAACAAATTGGTTAAAATATTATACCCAAATTTTGGGTTGAATTAACTGCAAATGTGTGTAACTTCAACCACATATATTCAGTGTTGGGAATGTTCTCTTTCTACGTGAACTAGTTCAAAGTTCAGTTCATAGTTCCAAAAAATGAACTAGTTCATAGTTGTTGTTTTTTTTTTTTTTTATTGCTCAATTACACCATAGCCTACTGTAGAACCACAGACAGCAATTATTTTATCAGTTGTAACACTGAAACTGCGTCAGATTTCATCTTCATATCCAGTTTTGAATCCTTATCCAACCAGGATTTACATTAGCATTGAGGGGACAGCATTTCCCCATTGTTGCTTTAACGCTTTGTTGCTGTAAATTCACTTCACACTAGTAGCAGCTGCAGCTTTCACCCCTACAGTATATTCTCAAAAACATCAGGAAAAATGTGCTGCTTGAATGGTCTTTTTTATGAGGAATTATTAAAAGAAAAACAGGAAAGTAGTCTTTAAGGTGCAAATGTTGTTTTTTATTATTATTTTTTTTTCCATTTGAAATTTCATTTCAGTACATACTAAAAAGGAATACTGGAATCCTGGAAAATTATATCAGGCAGGTTAATGTGCGGATTTTTTTACTGAAAGCCGGCGGGCAAACTTTGCAGAGAAATGTAAGATTGTTGCCATCATCCTCACCGACCAACTGGTCATAAAACTGTTTTAAGTGATCATACTGCTGCTTTGTCGCCTCCACGGTCGCCTCCATGCTGCTGTGACTTCCACGCTGCATTTTGTTTTGATGACGCACGCGGCTGTAGGCTACGACACCGGTAGCTGGTGTTGCCAGATTGGGTGTTTTCCCCGCTACATATTAAGGCTTGTTTACGGTGTGATTTAGCCGGGGTTTCGCCTGGAGGGCTCTATAGAAATTTGGCAACCTATTGAATGGAGTTGAACTGAGAGAGCGTGCCGTTCACAGACACCAGAATGAACGAGTTCACAATAACGTTCATCAGGCAGTAATACAGTACGTTCAGTTCACGTTCGCCCAAAATATGAACGAGTTCATGAACTTTCGTTCAATGAACGCGTTCAGGCACAACACTGTTAGTACATATATAACTATTACAAAATTTTTATAATGTGATTTTTTTGTAATAATAAAGGACGCGTTCAGGCACAACACTGCATATATTTATTAATATCCTCTACTCAAATGCTGGGTCAAATTGTTTCAGCAGCTACATACATACATTTATGTTCAGTAATCTTCTTAAATGCTTAGTAAAATTGTCGCAAACCTCATATTGATTCCAGCATATTACAGGACAATCATTAGGATAATGAATTGCAATGGACTACTGATATCTATAACAAAATACATGCTAAATTTGGTCATCCAAAGCATGTTTTATGCAATAAACACAATAATGGAATCTTTACAAGGTACCACCTTGAAATGTAATAATAATTAGAGCCCACAATACAAAAAGGAAACAGTCAGGTTAATCATTGAACAAGATTAACTTGACTGTTTAAACATTTTAAGTTTAAACTAGGTTCGTTAAAACTGCACATGTCAAACTGGTAACTTCCTGTACATTAGGCTGTTAGTTCAACTCATCAACTTATCTTTCCAGGGGATGAATTAAAAACACAAAAAACCAGGTGCAGGGTAAACTGAAGCATGTTGGGTTGATGAATTTTGTCATTTTGAGCCAGTGCATGGGTTGCACATAGAAATAATCCAACCACCCTAAATATGACTCATAATATATATACATCTAGCCTGTAATTTGTCTAGAGTGTACTGTAAGCTGTCAGGCAGGTCCTGTTAAAATAATTTCCATTTTTTACAGGTCTGGCAGTAAACAAATCACATGATTCATCAAAAATGTATGATTTAAAAGGATCTGATGAGGTCAATTACATTTTCATACAATATCAAGCTAGTTTGGATTTCTTCTTCCATCATGGGATACTCAAATCACATTTTAACTTTATTTTTATAAAGCAGATATGTTTCAGGGATCGAAATTTGTTTAATAATCTGAAATAAATGTAAAAATGCAGAAAAGAAAAAAAAATCTGTATACAATATCCTTTTCACCTATACTGTAATCTTAATTAATGCATACCAACATTTTACAGACTGATTGCAGGAAGACAGCAGAGGGTTCGTCATTAAAAGTATCTACAAAAATTAACCTGCAAAAACAATGGCTTGCACCCCGGCACCCCACCCCCACCCACCAATAAAAAAAAAAAACAAAAGAAAAAAAAAAATTATAATTTGATGAAATGACTGTTGTATGGGAAACAGAACTATATTCTTCTCTAAAATATCTACAAAAATTATGCAAGTTCTGACGTTAATGTCATATAAACAGTGTTTTTAAGACTAAGAAAAGAAGCAGCTTCATAGAACAAACTGTCCATGTGATTTTTATCTCAACACTAGTTTAATAATTAAAGTTCCTTATAGCACCCGCTGTTTTTACTTCAAAGCTAGTCATCATATACAAAACTCCATCTGTAGCTCAGAACCTCCATGAAAAAGCTGCTAACAGCAAACAATGAATTAAACACTTCCATCCACTGCTATCCATACACGTTTTTTTTTTACATCCAGAGCTGCACAACCTGAGCAGAATAAAATAAAGTCTTACCTTCACAATAAGTAGAATCCCCATGGATGGAGGCATAGCCGCTCTTACATTCACACTCTGCTTTAGTATTCCTGTTTTTACACTCAGAGTTTTCTCCACAAATGAGTCCCTCTGCGCAGAAGTCATAACCTGAAAAAGAGAAGCAAAGGGAGTAATAAAATTTGCTCACTCAAGGATATGAAACATTTTGTCAGTCAATGTACAAATGGAGTTCTGTGGAAAAAGGCACAAATACTTTTAATCATGGATGTGAGTACGCCGTATGTACTGTACATGTCTATATAAAAGGGATGCTTTAGTGGAAAGATTCCCAAACATCAATAATAAAATATAACTATGCAGAATTACTGCTGATGTAGCAACTGGCTGTATATTATGGTAGGTGAAAATATTGCTTAAATGTTCAATCTTCATGATTTTTAGACAGATATTTTATTTAAACTGACAAGATAACATTGATTCAGTCAAATACAACCCATTGTGTTCCGGGAGCAAACTGTGTGCAAAACTTCAATCTTTCATCTCTGCTTCAATCAGCCATATCATGCCTGCAGTTAGGTAAGCTAAAGAACAAAATAAATTCTGTTACAACACAATGTTCAGCTAAGAAAACAAATCTTGATTGCATAAATCTTTGCTTTGAACCATACAACCATTAGGTAGTGAGTTGCTCTTAACTGTAGTGTGAAATACTTTTAATCTAATCCTCCTCCATGTAACTTGATCTGAATCTGACTGTCACAATTGAATTGTGTTTACAAAGAACAGATTTATCTGAATTGAATTTAATTTGAAAAGAGATTGAATGTGAAATGGGGCATTTTGTATAGTAAAATACCTTGAGATAACACATATAATTATTTATACAACTTTACACAAAGCATATCAAGACAATGAAAGTGCTATACATTTAGAAATGGAAAAAAATAAAATAAAAACATAACGAGAAAAAACAAAACAAATCAGAGAACCATAAAAAATTAAAAAAATTAAATAAAATAAATAAAAAGTTGCAATGCTACTTTCTTTAAAACCAGGCTGGGAGGAATGAGATTTAAGATTCCATTTAAATACCTAAATAAATGGCTGAGCATAGATCCAGTGGGAGTACCTCCAGAATCTGGATGCCGTTACTATGAAAGCCATGGTTAAACCAGTGTTGGAATCTAATAAAAATGATTTTAAGACCTTAATGACCTGCCAGGTACAGGTCTGAAAAAGTACACAAATAGGGAGTAGAGAGGCCATCAAGTGTAAAAAAAAAAAAAAAAAAAATATATATATATATATATATATATATATATATATATATACTGTCCAATGCAAAAAAAAAAATTAAAGGACAGAATGTTTGGTAATATGAGTACGAAGATTGCATTTAGTACAAGTTTAAAGCAATAAAAGGATGACTGAGAGAAATGAAGGGCTTTGTAATAATCAATTCTGAAGCTGTTAAGGATGCATACAGTAGGCTTCTCCAAATCATCACTCAAGTTCAAATTGGTGGAACTTGGGGCAGAACACATAAATGATAGCTTTGTGTAATGCCAATAAGCCAACATTAATGCTCCATTATCACCAAATGAAATATGTCTTTTCTTCCTTTAAAAGCAGAACATTTTGGTTTAGACACTACTTAACAGCTGTGATGCAGTTAGGATAGGAACATACACATATTAATATGACTTGGCTTTAAGGATGAGTAAATTAATTGCATATGAAAGGACAGATAATGCTGAGTTTAAAGGGATCAAAGAGACAAAATATAAATAGAAAAGAAGAACAAGGTGCTTTCTATCAGCAGACATGTGTAGCAATGTTGTATATTTATCAAGGTAGGTGAAGCTCTTGCATTTTTCAGAAATAGCATTGTCTTTTAAAAATGATCAGTACTGGATAAAGTTATTATTACATAACTTAAATAAAAGAAAAGGGAAAACTAAAAAACTGTTTAAAAATGTGATAAAGGCAAGGTGTGAAGATTCAATTCAATTTGAATTTCCTTAAAAAGGAGTCTGACCTCAGTAGGTTTATAAATGCTGACACAGCTCCTACGCTAGAACATGAACTGAGAAACGAGTGGAGAGCTGAACCAACAGTATCAAAATATCTTATGAAAACGTATCAGGAAAAAAGTCAAAAGGGGATGTATTGTATGTAAATATTGAGGAATTAAAGTTACAATTTGAAACTGGTCAGAAACAGCTTGAACAATAGGAGAATGGAAAGGGTCACATTGGTAGATGTAAGAGTAATGTATCTGACAGATGTCACCTATGAATATCACCTGGAACTTTGTTAAAGATAGGCTCTGTGTATGCGCCCTGATGCTCTGTCTCTCCGGTTCTTTTCCCTGAAAAGAGATCACTCAGGAAAAACGCTTTAAATAACACTTCATAACTTATATGTATAAAATAACCAGGAGACATGACAACAGATTCTGATAGAAATTGTAATTTTACTCAGATCAGAGAAATTGCTTAAAATGTACAGAAGGCGGCTGCTCACCTCTGGGCTCACCTCTGAGGAAGTGGCCCCAATTAACAGTTAAAAAGGAATTTTATACATCTCCAGTCTGCCACATCATCTTATTTTACATCATAGACATTCATGGATCCAGCCTTATAAAAATATTACACTTGTTTTTAGGTGAAGGACACCGCTCTCATTCCATTTTTAAATCTTTGCCACGTGCAGAATGACGATTATAATTTTATATCCAGACAGAGGAACTGTCCTAATTAGATTAAAATAGCAGTTCTGACACGCAACAGGCAGCCAATACCAAGGTGTAATAAACTCACACATCTTCAATGATGATTATCCTGATAATTGTTATAATAACATCTGTTAGAAATATCTGGCCTTTCTATGTTGTAGGCTGAGCTCACATGTGGCATTTCTTATCCAAGGCCCAGCTTTGGGTTTGTTGAATTTAAACTGAACTAGATATATTCCGTCCAGATTCCCCACTGCAGGTTGTATAAAATAAGGAGAGAATTGGGTTTCCTTTCCAACCTATGTATTAAGTCCAAAAGATCAGCAGGAAACTGTCCAGCCGTAGCAGAAGTAAGGATGGGATGGAAACAGCTGACCACTAGTGACCAGTGATTCAATAATGAAGTTAAAAATCAAACATATTATATTTGAATATTTCACAGAAAGTTATGCAGAAATCATGGGAAACAAAAAGTCCAAAGATTAAATATCCATATCTATGAATTCCATGTGCAAGAAATTAAAAAAATTGATGGATAAAACCCTAATTACAGTATAGATTATTTAGTTTGGCAATAGACAAGAGCATTTCAAGGAAGCCTTTTCTTTAGGGTTCTAGAATTTTCTAAGCAATGTGTGACGGCTGTTATCCAAGGGAATGTCAAATCTTAGTATGGATGTTCTTTAATTTTACTCTGGGTTTGCAAGGTTGGAATTAAGATTTAAAAGGCAAGGAAAAGAAAACTACTTCACATCCTGTCAGCACCTGCTTGATTAGAATTAAAGGGTTAAAAGGAGCTGCCATTACAAACGTAGTCTAAATGGATGGTTTCAGGTAACATTTTCTTTTGTGATGACGAGATTATAAAAATGTGGATAAAAGCACTTATTTTGAAAATTCAGCCATTAACATTTACAATTTACATGAGCAAAAAAAAGTAGGAGAGAATAAAACTGTTAGGCAATAGGGTAATCCACATGCTAATGTGTGAATTATGTCCTGCACAATATACTGAATATTTCATAGAAAGTGTGGCTGATGAATGAGAACTAATTCGAGCTGGAGATCTGCACAAAAGTTGAAATATTAAGGTAGTACTATGAGCATGAATCACCTCATTTTAACCTGGTTAATTAGGATAAACTGGTACGACACTGTACGAGACTCTCAGGTGTTCAAGTTATAAAACTGATAGGGCCAGATGGAAATATAAGAGGCCATGTAAAGATACTGAACAACAAACTCCCAAGTGATCAAACAATCTATTTTCAAACATCCTACACAACAGCTTCTTTTTTTTTTTTTCTTCTCTAGGACAATTTCACGTAATCATAGGCTGGTGATCATAATGTTAAGGCAAATACGCTCCAATTTTTTCATTGGATTTGTTTGAATTTTATTAATTTTTTTGCATCTGCACCTTTGCAGACCTAAAATGTGCATAAGTTGGATGGAGCAGACAGATGGACCGAAATTTAGTCTGACAGATGAGGAGAGCGACACACAGAGAGACTGATGATTGTGATATCCTGTGCAGATATATCTCATCCTGTCTTCAAATGGGTGACAGACAGGTTGCAAATAGCAGTCCTAAGAGTTAAGGCTTCTGAGGAGCCTTAGAAAGAGCTTCTACAACATTGTTCATCAATGAAATGCCATAGAACTAGAAAAATTAAAAGAAAAAAATATATATATTATTATTATTTTTCCCAAGTTCTATGAGTGTTCATGTATTGTGATCCAACATAATACTATACCTACAGACAATCCCTTAGGACAGTTCTTGTTCTCTGGTGCAATCCAATATTAAGTCATAAGCAGTTTCACAGATGTAGAATTACCAATTTAAACAAGCCCATACAACCCCAAGGATTTCCAAGCTGGAAACAACTACATTTCAGAAGGAATGTAAAGTAGACATGGATTATTATTATTTTTTTTTATAATTTTTGATTCTGAGATCACAGAACAGTACGGCAGGAAACCCAGAAGTTATAGGAAGCTAATATTCAATAACAGGCTCTTACCGTACAGTCCCTTTGCCATTCCATGACAGATTGTTTATGGCCTCTTTTCCATTCTTTCTTTCACTTCCTTTCATCTACTAACATTTTCTAGCGGTCTTACATATTTTTACTTAGCTCATACCTGTTTTTTGGGGGTCATTTTTTTTATCTTCAATTTAAAATCAGTCTCCTTTGTTTCTCTTACATTTCTTGTTTGTTTTTCAAAGCAAACTGTTTAATAACTTGCAATAAAAATATGCTGTTTTTGTTCCACCTTTCTCTGAACATGGCTAGTGTGCTTTATGTTGCCAATCTTCTTCTAGATAAACTTGTTGTTTTTTTCATAATGGCACCTAACAGAACCATAACTGCCAGCCTCATACAGTTTGCTTATTTAATGTATTTACTGACAGACTGGTGCCTATTTACCCTGTAGTAGTTCCCTGCCAAAACAGCAGGGCCCAGGTAAATTGTCATTGCAGGTGCTCTGCAAAAGACAGCCCAATATGCTCTGATAGCTATCCAAACCCAAAAAAAAAAAAAGGAAGAAAAAGGCTTTCCTAGAAAACAAAATGTCCACCATGATGTTTTCATTATTTATTCTGGAGAGCACCAGTAAACACACACCAAAAGGGGGTAATTTGTGAATTGCTGAAAGAGTGAAGTCAATGGATGCCATACCTCTGCAAACATTGCAGCATCTGCCTTCTGGTAAGATCTGCTCAACGACGGTGCAGTTAATCTCTGGACACGTTTCTGTAACTTTCACCATGAAGCCATTCTACAAGGACAACACAAAGATAAAAATCACAGAGCTGGAGTCAAAGGCGTGAAGGTCTTTGCAGCAGGTGTTACTTATTTTTAGCAGATATAATGCAATTATATTATCCAATTGGATATAGGGTGTAAACTTGCAACCCAACTGTCATTAAAACACTTCAACAAGCAGACCTTTTGTCTTAAGCCCCTTAAAAACGATTTCTTTAATTTACATTTTTGCTAAAAATGTCCCTTTTGCTCCTGTTTTTCCAAGGGCGTTTCTTTTGTTTACTTTTCTTTTGAGTCTTTATCAGGCATTGCATTAAGACTGCAGGTAAAAAAAAAAATGATGTATACATGTTTTTTCATTTTATTTCTTAAAGTAAGCAGTGCATAGTTTATAGCATCATATTTGTATTTGTATAACAAGTGACCTTACTTGTTAAATTATGTCAGAAATATGACATTTGGAGATTTTGGAATCCTAAACTGGTAAATCCTGTGACATGGTTTACCTGTTCTGCAAACTCATCTAGACTGCAGACAAGGAGCCATAGTTCAAAAGACAGATTGATGCAGCCACCACAATAATAACACATGCAGTTTCTGGTCCGTTTTGGAAATGAAATTCCTTGCTACACATAACTTTTCTCACCTGTGGTCATGAACTTAGGGTCATAACTGAAAGAAAAGGATCATAAATATGAGTGGCTGAAACTAGCCTCACCAATGAGGCAGGGTTCTCTCTATGAGGCAGTGTGAGGACATGCTAGAGGGATCATGTCTCTCTTCTTGCCTGGGAACACCTCAGGCTCGCCCCAGAGGAGGTATCTAGAAAAAGGAAAGTCTAGGTGTCTTGCTGAGACTGCTGCCCTGCCAACCCATTCTTGACCGAAATCTTGCAGTAGGGTATGTGGACCAGGTAAGTGCCTAGGGCCCCAAGCAAAACTGGGGGGCACTGAGGGCTGTACGACATGACAGGAAAACTAAAGAAAATAAACCAATAATGCATGATATAAGCTAACAGCTTGAATTCTCTGAAAGGGCCTTTTCTAGAGAGTTTGCCCTGTAGCATCACTGAAGAGGCCAAATGCAATGACCATATAAAATACTGAGGACATTAAAAAGACGGATGTACTATTGTTTCCCCTTGAGTAAAAGCAGGTCCCTTTCAGCTCACTGTCTGCAAAAAAAAGAAGAAAAAAAACGCCAAGAGGAACAAAGCTGATAAGGGAAATGGAAAATTCTAAGCTTTTAGGCTTTTAAACAAAGGAAACGCTAAAAGGAAGAAGATGATAATTATTTGACTGTACAGTTGTTATTCGACTACCTTCTAGTGTGTGCCTTTGCAATACAACTTGATAAAAGTCTGCTGTTATGTCAACTTGTTGGGCTCACCTAATTAAAGGTAACCCAATGTTAAAAACAGTAGAAGTACAGCGCTGATAATTACTACATATGCTTCATTTGCCCTGTTTACAGAACTTTATCGTGAAATAGAGGACATTAATATTATACTATTAATGTCCTCTATCTCACGATAAAGTTCTGTAAACATAATAAGCCTAAATGCAGCCGCACAGCTGCAACTTCTTGGTTTTAAAACTGATAAAATTATAAATTTGATCTTCCCTTTTAAAAACGGTGATTGGAGGACTGGCTCTGACTTCAATCAAAGGCAGCATTCTCAGGTATTTAGGTAATATCTGGTAGCTGCATCCGTCCGGGCTGAAGGTTGAAAATGTCGAAAGAAAGTAGGTTTGAAAAAAATTCAAGGTTGTCCACATTTGCTGTGTTTATTTTTAAGCTTTATCTTTATTTATCAATTGGAAGCTGTGAATTTTGAAAGCAAAGCAGATTCAGTTTCAACCATACACCTGCCAAATTTCTTTCTCATTTTTCTTCCCTTATCCTGTACGTCGGAGGTCTTCAACAGGGGGTCCGCGACCCCTAGGGGGTCCACAGAGGTACTGCATGGGGGTCGCGAAAGTTTTGGTTAATAAGACTTTTTTTATATTCCTCCCTGCAAATTTTTCCACTAATTGAAATGTCTTTAAATAAACATTAACATGAATTCAACACACTGTAGTAAACAGATAAATGGAGGCAGAAAATGTCTTTCAGTCATCAATGCACACATTCAGTGACACATAGGAGCTCTTTCAAGCTGAGCACCGTTTCATTCACAACACCTGTCCCATCAACCAGGAATCCCAGGGTGAAATTACTTTTGTTACTTTAATCCATGTGTAATAGAGTGACTATAGGACCAGTTTGACATAACATTTTTTTATAGAATATATATAAATAGGGGGTCCCCGCTCCATCTCGCCATCAGTTTGGGGTCCTTGGCCTGGAAAACATTGAATACCCCTGCTGTACACCAAACGATAACTTCATTGCTGCTTTTTATGACTTCACACCTATCTATTGTCAGAGAATCAGAGGCGAGCACTAAATGCATTTTGAAATGTGCAATTTCCCTTCTCTCAGAGATTTCCATGCAACATTTTTTTTAAAGAAAAAAAGCTTTTTGAAATAAAGCAATATAAATTTGCCAAATATGGTGACTAATTCAAATAAAGTTTAATAGCATACTGAGCTGTCCAGTGACTAATGAAGAGTCCAACAAGTCCCCAAGTGCCTGCTTGTAAGCAGTTACATTTGTAAAATGTTAATTTCCTACTTAGTATGCTATCTTTAAAGATAAAGACATTCTCACAAAGGAGAAATCACATTTCTGCTCTGCTAATCTGGAATAATGACTGCCATTATAAAGCTTGCAATGATAGAGTTTTCAATTCAGCCAAAGCTTTTGTAAAGATGGCCACATAAATTATTCTAATTACCTGGCTATCTCAACATTAGAGTAAAAATAGGCAGATTGAACAGATTGCAGGGAAGGAAAACTAATATGGCCTGCTGGCTTATTGAATTACACACCAAGAGGTCCACCACATGCAATTATTGCAGATATTCCCTCTAAAAATGTGCCTGATTATATTACTGAAGAACAGACGATAAATGATAGAGAAAGACTTGCAAAATTAAAAAAGAAACGATACCTTGCATTCGTTGCATGTCCTTGATAGAAAGCGCTGACCCTCAGCAAACGTCAGTCCCATGTAGGTACATTTTGCTGCAGGGTAGAGAGAATAAATATAATATTAAAGTGATGCACTGTGTTCTTGAATGAAAACACAGTAGCTGCATGAAATAAAACCTTTTTGGCTGACCAAAGAAGAGTTAATAAGAATGAGTTTGGTTTGGGGGTTTTGTGGTTTCAGATGTAAAGTAATGCATTTTAAATCTGGTTATATTATTATTTTACTGTTAATATGCATTAATGCAGAACTGTAAAATCACATTAAGAACAAAATAGAGCAAGGCCTAGTAGCATATCTCTCTGGTGATAAATCAGAAATAAGTGAGCCACATGATACAAAGTCCTGCTTTCCTCCTCTCCAGGGTGTTGGACCACAGTATGCTCTGTCACAGCTCAGGAGCGCAGCTTCCTCTTTCCTCTGTGCCAGAGCTCTGATGTTTAGTTGAACAAGAGGAGGAAGGAGGAATGAGCAGAGGGACAGAGGGAGGCAATGGAGGGCTAAAATAATTCAGGCGCACTAACTTTGGGGATTTCTTTCTTTTGATGCAGTATATTAAGAAAGGCACAGCTGTCTGTGTCTCAGAAAATATACAAGATCTCTGTGTGCTTAAAGCTTTAAAACCTTTCCGATATTTTAAACAGCTTGTGATCTTTGCTCTTGCAAAAGTTGAATCTGCCTTCAGTCTGCTAGCAGACCAATGTCAGTTGAGCTTGTCGTCAATCTACTGAAACTGCTAATCGCTGTGTAGAAGTGTTCCATGCATTAGGCTAATAAATCTCTAACACAATTACCAGTTGCCTTGTTATGTGTTGGTCCACATAGAGGCATGGGTGTTTAGAGATTACTGAGGGGTGATGTGCTATTTGGCACCATGAAGATAGCAGCTGATCCTTTAAGTACAAAGTTGTGATGTGGCGTCTTCATGGATCACACCTGTTTGTACAATACATCCTGCAGATGCTCAATTGGACTGAGATCTGGAAAAATTTGGAGCTCAAGTCAAAACCTCTATATCGTCATGCTTCTCAAGCCATTCAAGACCTATGTTTGCTTTGTAGGTTGGTGACTCATCCTGATGAAAGAAATCATGGGTACTCCGAATGTTCTGGTGCCATGCGGCCTCATCCGAAACACATTCCTGACAAACAAGCAATGATTACCACAGCAACTGTATCTACAGTTGCCTTTCTGTCAAATCAGACTATAGAAGGAGCTACATTTATGAATAAACATGTTTTTACTACCCATTACTGCTTTACTATTATTCTGTCTTTGGCTACCTTTGATAGATGTTGCCCATTATACTGCAGGCTGGGAAAGCCGGATAACACCTGAGCTGACCAAGTTTTTAAGCCATTAAAATTTGTTACTAGACAAGCTTAAATTCATACACTTGTCTATTTGTCCTGCTTTTAACAAATCAATGTACCATGATAAATATTTAATAAATGTTATGACATCACCTGCCTTTAATAATAAGGTTATGCATCATCACGGTAAACCAAAAACGAAAAGTTCAAAACACTGTTTCTGTTGTTTGGTTAAACAAATCTCCTTCTACATCATATTATAGAAAAATAACTCTAAAGAAAGCAATTTAACATCCTAAGCTAAAAAATAACCCTCAATGTTTAGTGGGAGAAGAAGTGGATATTTACACTCAAATGAACACAAGTTAACCATTGTTGGAAGTTGTAAACAAGTAAACAGGGAGGGTTTTTCAAACGCAGATGTTTTGATTTTTTTCTTTTTGTTATGTTTTCGCATGATGCAAATGAAGCAATGAACAATTAGAAATAGAACAATGATTCAGCATGTTCACAAATCTGATATCCTAAATGTAAAATTCCCCCATTTAATTCAGTTGCAGCAAGTTTGATCTCAAGCTGAAATGTTAAAAGTCAACACCAAAAACACTGAAAAAGAAGTATATGGAATCTTCTGGGAAAAACTGAGTCATACTGATAAAACATAAAATGCTTATTTTCGTTGTAGATATATGTACTACAATTTTTAACTTAGAGAAGAAAACATTTTAAACACACAAATTCAAGAAAATTATTGGTATTACAACATGTGTTTGTTTGTTTTTTATCAGATCTACTTAACAAAGTAATGAGGTGCTGCAATCTGAGGCTCTGCTAAAGTACCTAATAATTATTGTTAATTTATTCAAGTAAACAAATTATGGTGCTTATAATTATTTTGGTGGTACCAGTCAGTACTTATTCAAATTTTAAAAGCCGGTTATTGTTGACCGGAGGCTATCTTTAAACTGTGAACCATAATTGTACTTTAAAAAGTAACTACAGAGATCTTTGAAGCAAGCTGCATATGTGGTGATACTTACGTCGGCATGTTTTACAGCAGGTCCCATTAACGTGTACAGGCAGCGTGTCATCTGTGCAATTTGCTGGGGGACAGAAGATCCTGCGACACTCCACCACACCATTCTTTTGGATCATTAAGGAAGAAAAAAATATTAGAGTTTCACAGTTTTCAGATAACTTAAAACTCATCCCCTTTATCTACAGTATGTACATACGAAAACTAGGAATATCCTTACCAAGTCTTAAGCTAAACAAATGCAGTGTCAAACACCGAAACTCAATGGATAATTGCTATGAGTTCATGTTAGCATAATCCAGAGCAAGCCTGGCTTTTGGATATTTACTCAGATAATGATACATGTTAAGCCTATTTCTTAAAAGTAGCTTGCAAATTTTATTGCAGTTTTTTTTCCCAAAGAATCTTAGATTGTTTTACTCTTCGGAATGGCATTCACAATGATAAAGCTTTCCGTCTGTCTGACTCTGCATTGTCCTCTGCTCTACTCAAATGGCAAAATACCCAGACAGCTGGGTAATTCTCAAATAAATGAAACGTACTATCTTAGTAAACTGTTCTATGTGAAGAAAAACCCACAGAAATCAGAAGTGAGTTTATTAAAGACTCAATTTACTCTTAATTTGGAACAAAAACAATCAATTAACGTGACTTGTAGGTTATCCACAGTCAGATGATTGACTGCTTTGTTGTCAAAAAAGACACTGCCCCGTGTTGTGCTTTAACAGTTTTGTTAACCATTTTAAAATACAGTCATTTCATAAACTAAATTGCAGCAGTCAATTTGAACCTTTTAAGGGAATACAGTAATTACATGTATTTCTAATGTAAATATCTAAATATACATAACATCCCTGACAGAGATATCTTAATAAATAATATTAAAAGATCTTTAGATGATGGCAAAGTAGTTGGGGCAGTGTTTTTAAATTTAAAGAAAGCCTTAGACAAAGCCAATCATGACATAATCTTACATCAACTTGTCAAACATAATTTATCTCATACAGCTCTCAATTGGTTGAGCTCATATTTAAAATTTCATTTGAAAACAGTGTGTCAAAGTTAATGGGATGAAGTCCAGTTTTCAAAATTGTACAATGGGTGTTCCACAGGGTTCCATTTTAGGGCCACTTCTTTTCTGCTTATACATCAATTAACCATATAGTTTTAAAATTACTAAATGTCAGATGTATGCAGATGAAGCCATTATAAAACTTTACAAAAAGGCAGCAGAGCTGCTGAATAGAGAGATGGTGGAAGTATCTCTTGCTTTGAGAATCACAGTTTGACTCTGAACTATAACAAAACAGTCTAACTGGGTTTACAATTCAGCATATTTTGATAGATCAGAGAGAAATTCAAACAGTGAATGAGTTTAAATACCCGTGTGTCATTCTGGATTGCTATCTCAATTGTAATGCTCACTTTAGGAAATTATCTAAAATCATTCAGACCAACCTAAGCTTTTTTCTTCTTATAAGATCATGCCCATGTGGTAAAACTCGTCAGTTGTACCTAAATGCATGATTTTGTCTTGGTTTTCATACTGTGTCACCGTTTGGAGCTAAGCAGCTCAATCTGTATTAAAAACTATGGTACAACTGTACAGCACAGTAGTAAAATATAGAAGAAATACAGCTTTTTATGTTTTGAAAATTTCAAAAGTTTTTCTTTTTTTTTTTTTATTAATTTTTAAATGTATCAACGGCCTTGTCAAATAATTAGTGAGTAATATGATTCCCAAAGTCACCAGCACAGGAGCTGGAACTAGAGCTGCTGTTAATGGAAACTGTAAACCTCAAAAATATAAAGCAGCGTTTGGGCAAGGTTACTTCTCTAGAGGGCTTCATATCTGGAGCAGTTTACCATATGCTTTTACTGAATTCTAAAAAAAAAACTGCCAGATTATTTTTTTTGCTTAGTGGAGGGATAATACAGGGAAACAATATGGTCAAAGCTTTGTTTAAAATTGACACAGTCTTTTTTTTCCACACACCAGATTAAAAAATGAGTTCATGCAAATAGACTTCACTAAGACCAGTTAATAAAGCACAGAAAATGAATAGCTATTGTAAATTATAAAACTCTTTTGTGTGTCCTATAGTTCTTTCCAAGCATGAATTATCTTTCAACATTATATAACGCAACCTAAAACTTGTATCAAATAAAAAAAAAAACATTACATTTCAGAATAAAATGTACTGCATTAATTACTGAGGCAGCACTGTTCTTGAGTAGCCTGTTGATATGAGATACCTGTAGTCAAAGCCTTAAGGACTACATTAATTTCTGAGTGATATCTCACTCTGCAAGCCCCTCTTCATTTCATGAGTCATCGAAAAGAATTCCCCTTAGAAGCTGTGGTTATCAGTTAATGGCATGCGAGGAAACCAGCCTGCCCAAACTGTGCTGTGCTTGATGCAGAAAGTGTAAATCCTCAGAATCTAGAAAGGTCTGATTCTAACTGCTATGTTTGAATGCAGACAGCCAGGCTAGGAAGCTTATTAGAGGATGCTTGCCGTTTAAGATTGCAAGCTGGGAAGAAATAAAAAAAGAAACAAATAAAAAATATGACTTGGAATATATCCTTAGAGACGGACACAAGATTATCTGCCATAAATGTGTGATATGGTGTACTGAAACTGCTTTAGAGGGCATTTTTCACATGCGATTTCTATTTCTTTTTTTGAGAATTCTAATACTGACAGTAACACTGATTACTTTACTGAAATCATGTCAAGAGCTTTATAGAAACTTTGTAATGGAAAGATAAGAAAATGAAAATTTTGGATTAAGTTCAACAACAGAGACAATCTTTACTGAAAAAAAAAAACAGGGTTTTTACTAGAGATGTACTGAACATGCTTCTCCAAGTCAATAATTATTATTTGTTTTCTTTAAGATTGAGCTGTAAATTCTGGTATTGATTAATATATTGTTTCCCTAACATGGATGCCATTTTAATGCAACTTTAAGAGAGAGCTAAAAAGTATGCACTGTTGGTTGATGTTAGAACAGGGATACTCAAGTAGAACTCAGTCCACAAAGATTTGCGTCAAAAGTCTGTTTGTTAGCCCTCAACCTATATAGTCCATCTGTTTACATGTATTCCCTAAAGCATTCGGCTTTATCACTGTGTATATTTATTTAACACTATTATAACTTTTTATCCTGATAAAGCTAATTTGTTAATGATTAATACACAAGCAAACTGCACACATTTTCTTGACAAGGCAATTTTTTCAAGTTTGAAAACTGCACTTTGAAGCTTGAATAAGGGTTTGGAGCATATTGAATTTTTCACTGCATGTTGGATTATAGTCTGACCTGAAATGATAAAGGCTGTGTTAAATTAAATGAGGGTAATGCTTACCTTACATGCACAATTCCTACAATTTTCAGGTTCCACCCAAAGCTCTTTGTCCCGGTACACCTGGCCATTGGCGTTGCAGGTCCTTTCACAGTGACATCCCTCTAGTTGGGTCAGTCTAGATTCTGCATAATTCAGCTGCAGACAAGTGATTCCAAGGTCTGAGAATATGCCACATAGCCTATTGCCCAGTAATTATTATCCCCAGGTGTATCCTGCTCAATTCTTATAGAAAACCTCCACGAAGAACTATATTTAATATAGGGTAAATAGAATAATTAAAATTCATTTAATTCAGGGTCCACATCTAAAGCTGTGATCTACAGAGATATTACATATTTAGAAATTACAGCTTCTCCTCTGCATGTCTTCTCTTTCTAATTGTGCAATGTCACCAGTTCCTTTCTTGTATTATGAGGTGCTCATCTCAAAGCATGCCTACCATAGACATTTTGCAAGTAGTTTCACCTGAAAGAGGGCAGCAGGTGAGCTGCAACAAAAAAGGATTTTAAAGCAGTACCTCACTGATTATTAAGAAATATTTTGTACTGTAAAAAATTTAAATAATGAGCTAAATTTAACCAAAAATGCTTTCTCCTGTTGATGAGAAAAGTGTCATTGAATTATTTTGGTTATTCGAGTGGTGCTCCTGTCATACTGCCAGGCACAGCTGTCATTTAGCAAAATGCACTCAAGCTGTGCCAAATGTAATTTTAACCTCATAAAAGGGAATCTGGTCAGATAAATGCGTCCAGATCTATTGTGGGACTTCTTCTGCATATGATGGAGCTTGTGGTCATGACTTTACCCTGTTACCAACTGTGTCTGGAGCGGTTCATAACCTCTGTTACACATGAGGGTTGGGCAAGAACATGTCAGTGACTTGAAGCCATTATTCTGATAGACCTCTGCTCCTGATCTTTTTTTTTTTTTTAGGGCACAGCCGTGCTTCTATGATAGTCTTATGAAACACTGACTATTTCATGCATGTCAGAGCTCTTCTGCTCTGAATAAAAATAGGACAAGTAAATGCCCAGTTAGATTTTTTGTCAATATATACTGTAGGGGTTACTTTTTCTTTTTTTCTTTAATCCAATTAAGGAATTGTATGCATGTTACTGGTAATGATTCAGGAATTTATTTGTAACGGGAATATTTTATTTATTATTATTGCCAAAATATGCCACATTCTACATGAGTATTGATAGTGATCATGCATTCAACTTATGAGCAGTGTACCCATCTTCTGAGCATCAGCATAGGTAGATGGCTACATACTGCAGGATAATGCACCATCCCACAAGGCTCAAATGATCTCACTTTGGTTTCTTTAACATGAATTAAATGAGTTCACTGTACTCCAATTGCTTCCACAGTCAATAGATCTCAATTCAACAGAGCACCTTGGGGATGTGGGCAAATGGGTAATTTGCATTATGGATGTGCAATTGAGAAATCTTCAGCAACCAAAATCTCAGAACAGTTTATGGGGGATGTTTTTCTGTTTTGTTTTTGATAAGTTAACAAATAAGCTGGTACATCTCCCATAGTATCAGATGTGTAGAAATATAATAATGGAGTATTGTTAAATTAAGGTTGGTTGGTTATCTTTCTATTCCATTAAAACAAAAGACAACTTAATCTGAAATGAGCTTTTAATGCCTTGAACATTTTTCTGTAAAGTGGAATGTTGAAACTTATTTCACCTTTCATAGAACTCAGGCTTTTTGATTTTGTTTAGGTCACATCTAACTAGAAGTAAGTAGTGCAAGGCTTCGAAATAAAAGTGATATATAAAAATTAACTTTTTATGTGAAATGAAAGGCATCTTAAAGGGAGCATTGATATAACCATCCAGGTCAAATTCAGATATCATGACTTCCCTCATGATTGTAAAATCTGGTGGCACCCCTACCACCTCTCCTCAGAGACTCATCCAAGCCTTGTTCTCAGAAACAAAGTAGTTTCTGCGATTGAGGCTTCCTAGGATAAATGAAAAACACTAGATGTCACTGAGGTATTTTACTTTGTTTAAAGAGGTCCCTGTTGAAAAGCTATGAGAGTTATGAATGGTGGAAACATGTCTTGGCAGACCCCTAAACAAAATGTTTGAAATGTAGTTTCAAAGGCTTGGAATCTGCCTGGAGGCACCACAGAGGAATACCTTTCCTGTACAACCCAAGCATCAAATGGCACCATAATGCAGCACAGAAAACATATCTAATCAAAGCTAGGCAACTAAAAAAAAGGCTTGTGCAGATATATTTATCAGATTACATCTTTTCTCTTTGTTATTTTGGAATGCATGTGTAAGGTACATGGTAAACAGTTTTGTAACAAAGTCGTGGGAGCCAGAGATATCTGCAGCATTTAGTTACACTGAAGCCACGATAAATCACAAATACTAAAAATAGATAGCGAAAGGCTATTGCTTTTAAAAATGATATACAACTGTTGTCCAGGCTGCCACATATCAGACCAAGGTCTAATTAGTAATCCATTATTTGGAGTTTGTGATTTCCATTAGTCTATTTTAATACAAAATTTCTCTCTGTAATGTGCGATAAAGTTACAGATGGGGTATTGGTTTATATTTTTTAAGTCTGATATTCCTAATTATTTCCCTTTTGGCTGTGACACAATCTGTTTTGGCTGCAATCAACGCCTTTGTTTATAGATGTCCAAGCTCTGCCTGTTTTTCAGTGTAGTCCAGTTTCTCTGACTGTGACTAACTGTATGTACTCTCTTTCATTCTCGAACATGGGAGCTGGCTCGGAGCTTGTCTGCCTGACTGTGTGTTTCCTTGACGGCTCCGCACCTGTAGGTGTTTGGCAGTTGCCTTTTGTATCTCTGCTCTCGGCATATGGACGCTCACAATGAACCTGGTTCTGCTGGAGGTTTCCTTCTGTTAAAAGGAAGTTTTTCCTCTCCACTGTCGCTACAAGCATGCTTAGTGTAATGGATTGCCTTCGAGTCAATGAGTCAATGCAATCAACTGGTTTTCCTTAGATAGAAAACTTTGAATCAATTTGACTGCATGATCTGGTGAACTGTGAAGTGCCTTGAGATGACATGTGTTTTGAACTGGGGCAATATAAATAAACTGAACTGAATTTCCCTGGGTGGTCCAAACATTACGAGGTGTATTTCTTAACAGTTCCATTCAGTAGTAACGTGTAGTGTAGTTTTAGTCATAATTTCTATCTTTGTTTCCTGATTTCTTTCTCTAATTTTGTCAAAACTGGCCTTTTCAGACTTTTTAAAGTTTCCCTAAAGGTTTAAGTGATAAATCAGTAAAGGTTTTAGATACCATATTTTCCTTTCTGGAATAAGATATGTTATGTTGACCTTTTAACAGTGCAGAAATTTAACTTTTCCTACAAACATTTTTGACTTTGTCTATAATTGACCTGTGTAATGCTCAAACAGTTCAGTTTTGGCAACTGGACATGAAGGTTCCTAGAAGACCTGTGTAATCCACAAACATCTATATCATGTATTAAAGAAAAGAGAGAGAGAGAGAGAGAGAGAGAGAGAGAGAGAGAGAGAGAGAGAGAGAGAGAGAGAGATAAATGTATTCCAAACCAAATGGCATACATATTTTAAAACCCTGAAATACTGATAAATATATAAAAAGCAACTCAATATTCAGAATTGTTTTCAATGAAAGTGGTTGCAAAGGGACTAATATGAAATATTTAACTGAAGAGTTTTTTTTTTTGTGTTTCAATAATATGTAAAGCCAAATCTAACATGTAGGCCACAAATATCCAACCAACTCATCTTTATGTCTTCAAAATACTTCTTTGCAGATCATCTCCGCTTAGCTGTTTAAAAGATCAGATAAGTTGAAAAAGCTAGCAATGCTCCTTCAATATTTAATTTAATGCTTTAGAACTTAGAGTTTCCTCTGATAACCTTTAACTTTTACAGATGTTCTAAGTTCCCTTTGGATATTAAAGCTCCAGTGTGTAATAATTCAGGGATCTACAGATGGAAATGTAATAGAATATACAAATGTTATCTGTTATCATCTACAAACTGAAAGTCTAATTCTTTATGTTTGCATTGCCTTATAAATTACTTTTTATAATTACATAGGAGAAAGTCGCAATTTATGGAGGCAGATATTTCTGCACTATGGCAGTGCAGAGCTGACAAACTACTGACTGTAGAGATTGCCATTGTATAGGCAAGTTAGGCCTATATAAACTCTATATCCTACACAGATCAATAAAATACTATTTATAAAATATCTTTATTACTTGACAAGATTTGGACGTTGCAGCAGGTATTTTGTACTATGATGGCCTCCATATAGTTGGAGGGGGAGAAGCGGTTGGGGGAGCCGTTCATGTCACTGCAGTCTGACCTTTAGATGTCACCTAGAATAACACACAGCACCTTTAAAGTTATATAAAGCAGTTATATTATAAAATTTGAAAAACTTGTTTAATGTTAGAACTAGAGTTGAAACAATTTTAAGGGTTAATCTGATGAAATTTAAATAATCAATTACTGAAATAATTATCTACTCATTTGCAACTGAATAGTCTTAAGCGGACTGCAAAGTCTTACAAATACCATTTGTTGAAATAACAACCCACTCAGTTGTAATTAGCCCAAAACTACACCATAATGTAAATAATCTGCATTTAAGATGACAAATTGCAGATTTCTCAAATAATTTGTAGTTTTGGTTTCTTAAACTGTGCAAATAAAGGGCAGCAAATGTTGCTCCTGGTCTAAAAGGTAAAAGGACAAAGAATGCATTCAGTTTGAACAAATAAACCCTTTCCTCAAGCTGACAACTGTTAAAGCTTCAACAAAATCAAATTGTTTTAAAAGCCTCTTTGCTAATCAAATTGTTGGGGGTTTACACAGGAAGGCTTAATAGGAAGTACCCAGAGGAACTGTTTTCACAACTAGTAATGGCTCTGTGATCTTAACATACAATTTGATCCTTCCTATAAAGACAGAAGTTTAATACATGCAAATTCGGCCATGATTATCCTCATACAGAGGGGCTTAGTGCTATCTCACTTCACCTTGACACTCGACTTCACAAACTAGGGAGCAAGCAATTATTCACTGCATGCTCGATCCTTCAATTTTCCACTGCATAGGCAGCGAGCCATTTAGAGCAGGAGATGACTACATCCTCCCTGCTGTGACTTGTATGTGAAGTGAGGTCAGGTGGCAAAAGGTCGAGCTGTGCTGATGTGAAGGAGGAGGCACTCACACAGCAGTAGGGTAATGGTCGTCATCTCATCCTTATTTACAGCGAAAATGTTCTATAGCTCACTCGCCACCTGGGATGTCCTTGCCTCATCCACTTCTACCCTGTATCGCTCTCACAAGCACCTAAGTGCACACACGCAATTACACATATACCCAAAGACTATTACATACTGATGATGATGGTTAATGCAGACTATGAAATGGATCACTTTTTCCCACTTGGCTCTCCCTAACCGTTTTCTGTTACTCTCCTGTTGAGTTGACACAGTCTCCTTCCGGAAAACTCACTACAGATGCAGATCACAGCCATCTAAGCTTTGGTGTAGTGAGTTTGGCATGAAAATGCCTTATTAAAAAAAAAAAATTACAACACTTTTTTATATTTTGCTGTCATTTATTTATTTATTGTCTGTGTTTTTTTTTTGTCATTTTCTTCTTGCAATATTCCTCTAGAAAAGTAAATTGAAGACAGAAATGGTGGTCTAATAATTTTGCTGATTTAGTACCTTAACTTGCCTTGCCTCAGTCTTGGACTCTACAGAGGATATCTACACACTTAAAGGTCTTCGCTGCAAAAAAACTACACTGGGTATCTGTTAGATGGCTTTCAATTTATAGGAGGTTGTTCTAACTCATTACCTTCAGGGTCATCTTGGCGAGTAGCTCCTGAAGGTCCATGATGCCTTGTACTAGGCTTAGGAAATCGCTGCAGGTGGGACAGGCTCAATAGACAAACAGGACGTATAAAAAGAGATAATGGAAGAAAAGGAAGAGCAAAAAAAAAAAAAAAACACTTTCAGACAGGTCTTTAACAACGTAAAAAATACATTATTGTTTGGCTGCTGGTAATGTTCACAGTAGTCACAGTAAAAAAGTAAAGCGTGAAATATTGGAGGTAACAATTTGTTTCATTCCTTTAGTTAAGGTAGTTTTTTTTTATCAAGAGGAAAGAACCGGGGTCTGATTGCCTTATTGATCAAAGACAGAAAGAGTAACAAAGGAGTGACCCTGGATCTTAATCTGTTTGACAGAAAACAAATCCAGAAAGGAGGAAAAAAAGAAACTAAGCTTCATTGTAAAACCAAATAAAGACCAGACTTTGCCAGAGAAGTAAAAACATATTCCTGTCTTTTGTATTGTCTATTACATGCCAGTCTAGCAGAGGCACAAACAAAGGATTGTTTTTCACTTGCTTTATGTTGTTGACAATGCTTTTAAGATACTTACTACGATTAAGATTAGGACACTGTGTGATGTAGCCATTTGGTGCAAAGATCAGTTTCACATCCTGGATAATGCCCTGAAAATAGACAAAGATAAAGATAGATTATAAATTCAGTCTTTCCTTGAGTTCTACAGTGCACTAACTTATTTAAGATAAGGAATAAACAGCAATGAAAGGTTATAAAATGTATGTTTTTCTTAAAAAATATGACTAAAGTATGCATTAAGTAATGCTTGCAAAGACAAAAAAAAACTATTGTTTTAAGGAGTCAGTCAAATTCATTGAGTCTCTCTAACTAAACTGCAATTAAAATGGTTTTTAATCATTTTAATCACATCCAACTTTGCCATAAAGAGAATAAAATACTACATTGTCCTGTTATCTAACCATTATTGGCCATATTCTGTTTTGTTTTCTCAAAAATGTTTATAAAATACTGTCATAGTAGAGGGGCGGTAATACCTGTCAATTTTGGTCTTAACTAGGTTGTATCTTTATTCAACTCAGCCATAAATGGGAACAGATGTGGAGTTATTTTTGTGCTTTATTTTTCATTCAAGAAAAACAGCGATCTGAAATGGGAAAATAATTTTGAAAGTACAATAAATATATTGGAGAGAACACATTTTTACACTAAGAGCAAAAACTGTTATTATGTTATTTGAGACTGGAGAAAAAGTTTTGAGAGAAAATATTTTTTAATAAAATAACACATACACGGTGCCAGCCTTCTCGTCATCAGTCAGCTGTCAATTCTGCTGAGACTGGCCAATAGAAACACAGGCCCGCCCATGAGACCATTTTCACAGAGAAAAATCCTCAATCAAGAGCAAAACACTTTTGAGAGAGAGAAGAAAAAAGTTTTGAGGTAGAAACTATAATTATGATTGCAAAAATGAACAATATATTGGAATATAAGGGTGTGCAAAATAATCGTCATGCCAATGCATCGCGATTCTAATTTTTGTGATCTACTGCATTGATTCTTGAAGGCAAGAATCGATTATTAAAAAGAAAAATATGAACAAATAAAATACATTAATGGTTCGCGCACATCAGCCAAACCAAGTGGAATACAACTTCCAGTCCAGCAGATGTCGCTGCGGATGTGTTGATGCCCGCTGCTTTGTGTCACAAGCATTTCCGGCCGTGGGATACTGCGACGAGTTGTATAAAATAAAACATGGAGGAGACTATGAAAATTCGCCCTGCGGCTCCATCACATTTCAAGTCAGATGCTATGATGCATTTTGGCTTTAAAAACAAAGAAGGTAAAAACTAAATTGATATGATGCACATCATTTGCAAAAGGGGAAATGTCATACATTTGAATGTTTTCATTTCATTGGTTTAAAGGACCACTGAGACCATGTAAACGGCACTGATTATCCTTATTTTGTTATTTTAAGTTTGATGAATCCTAAGATCTTTTTGTAAGTGTGTCCTCGCCAGTAATAGTAATATTTCTGTCCAGTATTTGTTTTCATGGCAACACTTCCAAAAGTCGTTTCAATAAATACAGCTATGTATGAATTCAGTTGCTTTCAGTTATGTATCAATTGAAGACACTATCCAGATCATACCCAGTAAGTCAGCCACTGGTAATGGCTGTATCTTTTTCTTACAGTGTTCAGTGAAAATATCGCAATGCATCGCAATATTTCAAGTATCATGATGCATCGTGATAGAATCGCATTGTGGCATGTGAATTGTGATTCGAATCGAATCGTGACTTCTTTGCCAATACCCACCCCTATTGGAGTAAAAATACATTTTAGAGAGATCTAAATGAGATGAATGTCAATTTATCTTTTATTTATTTTATGACAAAATATTTTCTCTCAAAACATTTTTCTCCAGTCTCAGATGACGTGTTCTCTCTGATACATTTATTTTACTTACAAATTATTTCCCCCTTTCAGATCACTTGTTTTCTTGAATTTAATAAAAACTTAAAAAAATGCTATATCAGATGCATACCAAACAAAAAAAACATCACCACATCATTATTTGGAAAAGAATTAATGTGTTCTTTAAAGAAATGCAATACTTTTTACAAAAACATTATATACTTTAGAATTCATTCCTATGTCTCACCACTACATTATAAAAATAAAGTGACTTTATATCAAGCCAGAAAACATTGTCTTATAAAATCTAAAATCCTTTTAAAGACTTCCAATTATTCTAAGTTGTTTTATAAGTTGTTTTTCTGATGCACATGGGTAGTAAATGGAAGTTTCATGATAAGAGCTTCAGAAGAAAGCACTTTTTCTAGTGGTGAACAAAGGTAATGAAACACCAGGGTGCCCTCACACATGGGAATCATATCCTTTCCCTCCTCCAACAAAGTAGCTACTGATAACACACTGAAGAGTCATTAAAATTCAGCACCTAAAGCACTATCTGCATCATCAGGTCTGCTTTACACATGTGTGAAATCCTATTTGTGGTACAGTTTGCTGTCCTGGATGACTTTTTCACACATTCACAGAAAAAGAGACAGCTTTAAGGTGGAACAGACATCCATCAAACACACCAATACTTTATCACATATGTAGGTAACCTGAGCAGCAAATGGTGAGGAAGTGATTATCAGTGTCGATCAGAATGCGAATGAAGCCATAGATCGAAAAAATCTGTTCCGCAAGTCTTTTAATGATCAGAAGGGTATCTAAACTGAATTTTATATATTCCCTCTCACTAATTCAGTATCTGTCCCAGAGATGTAATGTTATTCAGTGTCTGAAATCCAATGGCTTGTTTTTCAAATATGGATATCCCAACAAATTACACAGCTTTTCATTATAAAAAAAATTAATGATTTAGAGCTGAATCATGAAATTGCCTCTTGATCTAAAGACACTACCCAAAAGAGAAGATGGTGGAAACATTCAAGAGCTACTGACACAGAGCAAATAAAGTGTTCAAACAACCCACTCATACTGCACTTTATTTAACTAAACTTAACTGAAATGACTGCCATACAATTTAGAGTCTACATAAATTAACTACACTTATAAAGAAGTCTTCCATGTTATGGTTTAACTTGAAATAGCTTAAGGTTAAGTTAACGAGATGAAGAATCTAAAAAGACTGTTTTTAATTATAATATAATGTCTAAAGTGTCACAGCTGCAAATAAAATATGCAGTATGTTTCATGGAGAAAAATTATCTGTAGAACAACTTAGTGTTATGATCAAGACCACACCAACCAAGACCAAGGAGTACCAAGACAAGGCCAAGACATTTAGAGGCCAAGACCAAGAACAAATTGGTGATACTGTGCACATAAGCTTTGGATTTTTTAACCACTTTGCAAATACTTCTTGAGAGACCTGGAAGTGTGGGCCTATTTACAGTTGCAGGCTGTCCTAGGAGAATGCACCAGGAAAGGAAAAGCACAACATAAAAGCCACAACACCACCTGGTTACACTAACACCTGCGAACAGCTCTGGTAAAATAAAGGCCAGGTTATGCACCAGGCTAACTTGCATGCTAGCCAAGGCTATCCAATGATTTTGCTATCCACACTTGTGTGGAATCAATTTTCTTTAGGACATTGATGTCCATTTAGTAGTTAAAAGAATTGCATTGAGATGTTTTCATATTAAGGGGTTCCACTGAATTCAGGAAATGTAATTCATGTAGAATTTGAAAGTATAGTAGGGATAGATGTGAGATTAAGTTAAAGCTTTGCACCCCATCATGCACCCTTTATCTGGGAAGCTTAACGCCTTAAAAGTTGAGAAAAAAAAGGAGTTAATGTATTATCACATTCTGATCTAAAATCCAAGTGTTGAATTAAACAGTCAAAGCAATTTAAAGGTGTCAGTTTCTCCTAAACTGTATATAAAATGTTTTAAAAGCAGAACAAATATCTTTGAAAGCATCAAAACTAGTGTTGCGCCGATGCCATTTTTTGGCCCCGATACCGATACCCGATACCTGGCTGTGCAGTATCGGACGATACCGATACCATAATAATGTAAAATAATTGCCATCACGGCTTTGTCAAGCTGCTGCCTACCTTTGTGAAGCAGGAAAAAATATAATACAAAGTGAATCCAGCAGAACTTTTTATTGCCTACCAGGAGTGGGTGACAATAGTTGAATAAACTTAAGGCTCTCAAAATGGTATCGGTGCCCTATTTGTTGGTACTTGCCGATACCGATACCACCATTTTAGGGCAGTATCGGGGCCCCGTCCGATACTGGTATCGGTATCGGTGCAACACTAATTAAAACAGAATAGCTTATATTAATGATTTCACACTCACTCTGATGGCAACTTTATGGTACCGGTAATGTTAAGAAATAAAATAGTTTGAGAGCTCAATTTTTTTTTGTTGCAATTTTCTGAAATATGAAGACATTTTAAATATATTAATTACACTATGTGAAATCATTTAACCTTAAATTTTTTTCAATGCAATAATTATTGCTTTTTTAAGAGGCTCTTAGGTATTGTCTTCTGTTGACTGAGTATGAGGAAGGCACAAAATCTCCAACATTTGTTTCTTGCTGATTACAAATCTTTGTAACTGCAGTCATGCAAGGAGAAGTATTTTTAATCCATCCTGTCAACATTTCTGTTGAAATCTACACAATTAGAAACCAAATCTTTTGGGACACGTATGGCAGCTAAAAGAAAACAATTACAGATGACGAGTGCTTTGAAAGAGTAAAATTTACATAAAGCACTAAAGATGTGGCTTTCTATTTTCTGTTAATTCCCTTCAACTCTAAAAGTATAGAGACAAGAATATAAAGCTGTAATTTGGCAAAGATGCAGGTGCCCCTTTCATCATTTGGGCAGGTTAAAGTTATGAACAGCAAAAGCTCTTGTTTGACAATCTAACCCTACAAACCAGTGTTTGTTTCACCATAGCAGCTTTTGAGGAGATGCAGAGATAACTGCCATGCTCGTGGTAGTTATAGAAAAGGGGTAAGAGAGTCATTTTTGAAAAAAAGTAGTAGAGCCTCGTCTACATAGACATCGGTATTCAGAGTAAAGGATGGATCTGAATAAAAATTTGTCATATAAGTGTTGAAGATAATTTTTTTCAATTTAATTTTCTGTTTTAAATAACTACTCATTCTATATGTCTGTTCCCATTCTGTGTAAGTCAGCTAGAATGCCATTCCAATGCTGAAGGCTAAGGTGACCAGAGAGGGTCTAGAATCACCTGATATGGTAATACTGCGGTCAGAGTGAGAAAGGCAGGATACTGAAGCTTGAGATTTTAGAGAAGGAACCTACTGGCTGGGTGTGGTATTTTTAGATAAATTGGAAAACTTTTTGTAGTTGTGGGTCATTTTTGCTGGTTCCACAGCTATGGTTGACAGGGAACAGGCCTAAGAAAGAAGGTAAAAGACTTGTTCTGCAATTTGTGCTTGTATGAATTATATTGCTAAACATGACTGGGATGATTTATGTTAATGCATAAAGATGTTTCCTTCTTTGTCTACACTAAGAATCAACCTTCCTCGGATTCAGACCTTGTAATTAAACCAATGATGTAAGAATGCCAATCAGAATAGAACAATTTTGAATAAGAGAGGAACTTTAAGATGATTAATATTCTTCAATAGCACCCTTTGGTTATTATTATCAGAGGTGTCAAAAGTATTAATGTCTATTACTCAAGGATAAATCCTACTGTTTAAAAACACTTTTGTAGAAGTTAGAGTATCAACCTAAGTTTTTCATTCAAGTAAAAGTGTGAAAGTACAATTTTTAAAACTGCTTAAAGTATAAAAATGAAAGTAATGTAGAAAACTTAAAGGATAGATTTCTTTACTGCACCACCAAATTAAATGAAAATGTTACTACAATGCTGAATTCTTTATAACTAATGGTAACAGTGTCAAATTGAACTTTGCATCATCCTGAAAAACTATTTATTTTGGTACCGAGTTAACAAGTTTCTTGCTTCATTCAACACATCTTCTGTAGTTTTTTTTAGAAAATATGACAACCATGGGAATATCAGAGCGCTTCATTCTAATCAAGAAATTTTGAGCATGTAAACAAGGCTACTGGACAGCAGAAAACTAATTAATCATATCATGTAAAACACAGTCCTGACAATCATTTAAACCGGTGGCAGCATTCTACTTTTGCTTTTTTATTTGGCAGAGACAGATAAGGTGGTCAGAGTTAATAGGAAGGTAGACAGAGCTAATTGCATGGCAACCTGTAATAGGATGCAAAAAACATGAGACTGAAGTAGAGGTTAAATGCCCTGCAGGAAAACTTCTAAATGATGCAGCCAGAGTAAGAATAAAAAAAAAAAAACCTTATAAGTCTTAAATCCCATTCTAAATCTAGGGTAATACATGAAGTTTAAAGGTGCACATTTCCATTAACCATCCATTTGTTTGAGCTACTTTCCAAATAAAATTGGGCAAAAACATTAGTATCTCTATGTGAAATCTGACTAAAACATACTAAAAAGCATTAATAAAGTAAAGCTTAACATAAATACATTCCACTGTTTCCAGGTTTGTATTTCTAAATCTTTTAAAACCATATCATTATTGTCTTCTGCAAATTCTTACCATATTTAGTGTTGTATTAACACTTCCTGGTTTAGCTTACAGAATATGCTAGAGAAGGTGTAATGTCAATGCTGAAAATATGAAATGAAACTAATCTAAGCAATGAACGAAGCACAAACAAATCGAGGTGATCTGTCTATGAGTGTCCAAGTAAGAATAATCATGATTCAGTGGTGCATTAAACAAAGCATTTCAAAGTGCTGGCTCTAAAAAAGCTTGCTGTGTCCCTGAGGAGCAGTATGCTTGGCACAATGGATTTTAGATAAAGATAATTTATTACAGTTGCTCCCTCAAATGGAGAGACTCCCAGGAGAAGTAAGAAAAAAAGGAACCACTTCAGGCATTGTGCAGACCTCGTATGTTTTATTTAAAGACCTAGTTAGCTCATCTTATCATTATCCCACTCAAGTCCTGAATAGAATGGACTACACCTGCTGCTTTATTTCAAATCCTATCAACGTTGTTATATTCAGAGCTCTTGGCTATTTTTCTCTTCCCTTCACCTCTTGTCTCTAAGCTTAACACATAAGGAGCCATAAGTAGACTATGAATACCTCCTAATCTTGAACAAGTTAAACTAAGGTGTATTTTTACAAAACTTGGGGAGAATAGCAGAATGATAAGAAACCTGTTCATAACTGTTAACTTTGTAAGTAGTCAAAAAACTGATGTTTGTGGCCTCCTTAGAAAGCCTGTTATTGTATAATTCTATGTCATAACCTTTGGATTTATGTATAACATTTGATATGAGGGAGCACAAAAAACAACATGAGAGATTAAAACAGAAAGCTTGAGGCCTTTCCCCTGTGATCACTTGGCTAGAAGAGAATGGTATTATTGCCGCTATAATATGCAGTACGAACAACAGTTGGCACAGATAAAATGAAATTAAACAAAATCATGGTACTGTTAAAGGGCTAATGTACAATAAAGTGTGGTACCTTGCTGTCACCAAGTCCACAGAATAGTCACGGAATGCCATCAGTCTGTAAATTTCTTAATTGACAGTGCAGGAAAGTTTTCCTCCAACCAATCAAACTAAGCACGTTAAGAATGGTCAACTTATCCATGACTTTGTATACATTATGCTTTGGTCAAAAAGAGAAAGACTGCATTATCCCACAACAAACAATCCAGGCGTTGTATATACGTGCTGCACTGTATAATTTAGAAATTCCCCAGGACATTTTTTTAAGTAAAGTTTTAAGTAAAGACAATGTCTGGTCACCCTTACATATTAACAATTTGAAGTTTCAGTGAGTGCTTGTTGCTATGATGCGTCTTTGCTCAGCAGCTTTGCTTGTTGTAAACCAACCAATCAGCGCATAGATCATCTAAACGCATTAATGCATTCTCACTATATTAAACAAAGTCCCAAACTGACAGGATACTATGCACCCTATTGGTGAGAAAATAAGGAGGAAAGACAACTATAAAGAAATAAGAGACAACTCTAAATGCAAGAAAAATAACCACCTAAACAGGTCTAACCAACAGTATAAAAAATGCAGATTTTATCCCTCTAGAGAGTACATGCAAAACGGTCAAATAACTTTCTTTACTTGGCTGCATATGGTTAAGAAGATGACTAAGTGCTTTCCCACTGGCAAAACATTACATTTGGTTGACAGTGGTATTATAATACATGAACTTGACTATTGTTTATTTAAAGAAAAAAATCCTTGTTTTTTAAATATTAGAATTTTCTGAAAATGTCTTAAGATTATACTGCTCAAATAAAATATGAATATGTTTATTCTTTTGAAGATAAATGTAATTAATAGAAGACTGCTCACAAAGAAAACGTACAGTATGACAGGACCAACAAATAGCATGAAAACATTATTGGCAAACATTTTTTTTTTAAGTAAAACTGAAACATCTCTAATCAAGGATTATCAGGAAAACAATATTTATCAACAATTCTCAAAGGAAAGCTATGATTTGAAAAATACAATGTAAATCTAACCATTGGAATTAAATGTGTTTTTAAGAAATGTGCAATTTCACTACCATTTTTAAGGAAACTTCATACAAAATTGCTATATGGATAAAAAAAAAAAATTTACTTCTAAATGTATCTGGATGGCTATAAAGGAACAGAGGCTTACAAATTAGTATTAGGCAAAGATATTAAACTTTCTGTTATTTTTTTAGATAGAATATTCTATTCTAGAAATAGCAAAAAAAAACCCGACAAAATAAGAACAGATTAATGAAATTCTCCAAAACATTCACCTTTCTCGTCAGGCATAATGAGGTATGACCTGAATGAGATGTATATCAGAAGACATAACACATGGTATGCAACACATAACAACAGCACCTTGATTCAGTGCGTTACATGGGGCATCTGTCAGCTGAGATGCTGTGATTCTAGAATGAACCTGAGGGGATAATTTCCTCATTCCCTGGCATTTCACAACCAGCTCTGCTCTTCCACACCATCTGTCAATGCCACTGACATGCAGATGTAGGCCAGGTCATACTGGTGATGACTGAAATCAAGGATCTGGGTGATTGAAACATGATGCTTTAGACTTGAGCAAAGCTAGGGTTTTTTTTTTTTTTTTTTTTTTTTTTTTTTTTTTTTTTTTTTAGTAATGCTGATACAGTGAACAAAATCAAAGCAGAAAGCCAAAAAAGGACAGTACTCCAGTACAGGAACAATAGTTTTAAAGCATGGGGAGGAGAAATAATTTTCACCACAGTGGGGCTTTGCAGCTAATCAATATGTTACAAAAGAAAAATAGAAAGCCCACTGATTGCATGGCAGGTGGGAAAGAGAGCTATGAATATCAAAACTGTGTGCATGTCCTGGTTCTACTCTGTCATGTCCCCTGCCTGCTGTGAGAGCATGCAGAAGCCTGAGAAAATGAGTAACAATTAGAAATTGACAACATTGTGATGGCCTTGGGAATAAGCATTTAAAAACCCATGCTGAGCTTTGTGTAGTTCGTCTGAGCCTCCGGCACTTCTTTTTCAGAGTCTTGCTATTGTGTTTCTTTCCCAAACGCCCTCCTGCAAATCTGTTCAATTACACCAGACTTTATTGAATGTGAGGCAGATTCACTTACATGAGGCCTCTAAGAGTTTGTCTGCAGCATAGGGAGATGGGCTTACCTTAAACAGACCATGCTTGTGGCTGTGTTGCCCAAGCCACACTCCGCTGCCCAAGGTAAGCTCCATCTGAGGGGGGTCTATCACCCGCTCATAAATCCTGCCAAAAACAAAGCAGAAAGGGCTGTTACTGACATATGCACAGAGACATTTACTGCTCTGACAGGAACACTGATCCAATACAGGAGAGCACCAGGATGAATCCAACAGAATATTCTCATCTCTGCTTGTTTCTTCTCGCCTCTTCCTTTTATGAGAAGGGGGGCTTAGGCCGGTCTTCCTAAGCATGACAGCAATTCTCACCCCGCAGCTCTACCACAGTATTGTCATCTGGACCCAGGATATATGGTGGATTAACCACCCAATTCCTGACAGAAATACAAAAAGGCTTTAGCATTATTAAACTAAGCATCCCAAGGGTGATGCAGCGCCATTGTTTTCTACACTAAGACAAGGTTAATAATGGAGTATTTGCCAGGATTTGTCCTTACTTCCAACACTGAGCAGAACAGATCCTATATTTGAGGATCATTCTGCTTTGGCTTAACGTTTTAACCATAAAACACATATGAGCAACCTCTGTTGTGTTTACAACATGAATTTGTGCCATTTTACAGGGATCGTTATAAGTTTGGTATTCAGCCAAAATAAATGTATAAACTTTAGAGGGTAGAAACTGAGAACACTAAGCTAGAGATGTGAGCAGCAAAAACATCAAATGACTCAGGCTCATGCTCACAGTATAATTTAAAATGGCCAAAACTGAAAAGAAAACACAACAAAAAAGCTCAAATTATATGGTCAACTAACTGTCAGACTAAGAAACAAATCTGCTTAATCTTTCCTGAGGCCTTTTTAAATAATTTGCCAACCACAGAGTATCATTCTTACTTCCATAGCCATTCTATCTTTCACATTTTTTTCTCTTTGCATTCAACTCTTTTTAGTGTGACACATTGATTGGCAGAACACAAAAACAGTGTGCAAAAAAAATGCAGCAAGACCAAACTTTACTCGCTCAAGTGTGGACTAGTGGAAATTTTTGAGGAAACAAAAGTAATTGAGTCCAGCTCCTTTTGCCATTTTTTAGATTTGTAGTTTTGGCAACTGACTAATAAGGTATAAAATGTGTTTTTTAAAGCAGGATCTTTCACACTGACAACACATGAATTTGTATCTAACTCGAGCATATTTTACTTCTGCTTTGACAACCAATGATTTAAGTAAACACACTTAAACTACTCACAGTTGACACTACCACATTCAAATTGTGGTTTGTGATTTAGACAAAAATATATATTTTGACAGGAGAAAGGCTTTGATAAAGAGGTCATGACCTCTGTATTCCTCATGTTTATTATGAAGTTCATTGCAAGCTGCTGTTAAATCATATTTCTACTATCATTTTTGCACATTTTTTTAATTGCTGGTGTGGAACCCAATTTTCTGTCAGTTCCTATCTGTTTGTTTTTCTTTGTATAATTACCACTCCTGTTTAATTATACATATACAGTTATTTATATTCCACAATAGACAGCAAGTAAAAGAATTTGTATGATAGTTTATTTAGGTATTTGGTTATCTTTGAAAAATTTCTTGTACCAAGCAGTCTTAAAAAGTGAAACATCTATTTTTAAACTCTTGCTGTTACATAGTTCAAATATCTTTAAGCTTTCACTTTCAAATTTATTATCCAAAAGTACAAGTTGCCGTATGTATGATAGGATAGGATTTCTCTAAGTTGTTCAACACTTCAAAGATTTTGGAGCTGAGGCTGGTTATAAGGGTTTTCAAGTACCGTATTTTCACGACCATAAGGCGCACCGGACTAAAAGGCGCACTCTCAGTTATGTGTCCCATTTCTGTATTTAACACACACATAAGGCGCACCGGACTATAAGGCGCGTTTTTTATATACAGGTACAAGTCCTCTACTACCTTGAAATACCTCTACTGCGTATTTAAAAATACAGCGGGGGCAAAACTGAGTATGACTGTGCTTTATTCATGTATTTATTACAAAGTATTAATCAAACCTGGCAGCTGGCCGTGAGACAGAGACATCGCAGATGACACAGCGCTGTGATCACTCCTAAATTAACTTAAAATCCTGAAACCTGCTGACGGAATATGTTCGCTTTTATTGCCGGTATCCTGGTGCCTGCAGCTAAAATTATTTAGATGAAAAACACCTACCAGCAGCCGCGGTGAACCCCAGGCTGCCCAGCCTACAGGCTGCTGATGAAGGGATATCTGCTGTCAGCGCACCGCTGGTATGTGGGGGTCTGAGCGCCTCCGACAGAAATAGATAATCTGGATGAAGTGACTGCAATTATTAAGTTTTCAGGTGGACTTTCTCACTTAAAAACATATTAAAACTACTTTATTCCCACTGATCACAGCAAATATAGCTGCAAGATTTAGATTATTTAGATGAAAAACACCTGCAAGCAGCCGCGGTGAACGAAAGGATTTCTCCTGTCGGTGCACCGCTGGTATGTGGGGGTCTGAGCGCCTCCGACAGAAATAGATAATCTGGATGAACTGACTGCAATTATTAAGTTTTCAGGTGGACTTTCTCACTTAAAAACATATTAAAACTACTTTATTCCCACTGATCACAGCAAATATAGCTGCAAGATTTAGATTATTTAGATGAAAAAACACCTGCCAGCCACCGCGATGAAGAGGAGGAGACCGAGGATGCTGTTGAATTAAGTTTTCAGGGAGAAAAATACAGCGGGAGCAAAACTGAGTATGATTGTGCTTTATTCATGTATTTATTACAAAGTATTAATCAAACCCATCAAAGTCATCATCCTCTGTTATCCTCAGCATTCCTCTGAATAAAACAGCTGCGCTAAATCAGACATGCCAGTTTCCCCTTCTTCGCTGTCAGAGTCACTTTCCGTGCAGCGCAGCTCCTCAGAAATAATGCCGGCTTTTGCGAAAGCTTGAACAACAGAGCCAACAGACACTTTAGTCCAAGCATCTACAATCCATCCGCAAACTGTGGCGTAATCTGCCCGGCGCTGCCTTCTTATCCTGAAACTGTGGTCTCCGTCGGTCATCCATCGCTCCCACGCCGCTCGCAGCCTTACTTCGAACGGCTGCTTCACACCGATGTCGAGCGGTGGAAGTTCCTTTGTCAGACCCCCGGGATAACGGCGAGCACAGCGTTCATTTGATTCACCTTTTTTTCACATCGGCTGTGAGATGGGCACGCAGCGATGGTGATGCGTGGAAAAAACCACCTAGTCTTCTCACATACACCTGCCTCAGCCACGCATCCATCCAGCCTTTTCCATTTGCGTTAATATCATATGTCATCAGAGCGCTGTCTGTCTCGCTGGCAGCTCCCAGATCAGCTTCTCTGATTGGTTGATGCGGCGCGTCCAGCAGCAAAACTTCAATTTTTCCATCTCGAGCAGCAGAAGCGCGGCGCTTCAGATGCTTAAACGCTCCCGACGTGCTGCACCAAAATGCGCTGCGGGACCTTTTGCTGCACCTATATGCGCGTCAACCATTGACTTTGCATGTAAACTCGCTGCTTCTGCTGCACCTGCTGGGTCCGGTTCACACCGATGTCGAGCAGCGTTAATTTGTTTCCCCATGTTTTTCACATCAGCTGTGAGATGGGCACGCATGGAGTTACATATTAACAGCGATGGTGAGGGGTGGAAAAAAAAACACCTGGTCTCCTTACATTCAGCCACTCTTTCATCATCTCCTCAATGAGGTGGTCTCAAAAGTCGCAGTTACAACACACATAAGGCGCACCGCACCATAGGGCGCACCGCACATTTTGAGGGAAAAAAAAGACGTTTAAGTGCGCCTTATAGTCGTGAAAATACGGTAATATCTTAAACATAAACATATCAGTTACTATACATGAGTGAATGCAGCATAATAGATATTTATTTCCTGATATTTCTATTCAGGCAAAAAAAAAGGTAATATATTTTAATTGTATCTGAACAGGTAAACAATGAATGTAAGCAGAAAAGTACTTTAGAAACACTTCCCTTGTAAGGAAAAATTAATATCACTAACTTGAATGTGGTCCCAATAAAAGCCTTGAGTGGGTAACATCCATCCACAGGGACCCAATATTAGTTTCAGTTTGTTTGTGTTGACTTTCTTCAACAAAGATAGCTAATTACCTGCACATTTGGGAATGTAGTATAAAGTCCTTCTACAAAATTGGTTTCAAAAATCTTTAATTACAGCAGAACTGAATCAGTATATACACGATTTACCTTTCCAAACTTTATAAAATGTATGCTTAAACTTTGAATTTCTCAGTTTAAATTACTTTAGTTTGCCAATAGTCTAAACAAAAACATAGAATTTCAATGTCAACAAACTGTTTTACATCATATTGAGCAGCATGACAGTTTAAAGAATTTAATAACAGCTGCTAATCTAGAAAGCTTGACAACCTACTGTAACAGAATAAACTGAGCCAGAAGGCCTAAGACAGTCTAAATAAGCATCAAGCAGTAAAATGGAAGAATCCAACAATGATAAAAATAATACACCAGGAACTTCAAAAGCACAGGAGTAAGCAAGTGAGAGGTGAGTATCAGTGATTGATAGATTGATATGGGTGGTTGAATTGCAGAGAGAGAGAGAGAATTCTAGAAATAGAGAGCTTAGCATGGAAAAAGGAGAGAACAATGTAAAGAAGTGAACATAATTCCATAAAAAACAAAGAACAAGAGTAACATACAAGATTAAAAGCAAAGGAAAATAACTACTGAGGCAAAATCCATCTAACAATCAAGAATCATTGATATGGTCAAGAACAAAAAGACAATGAAACCCAAGCCTGTAATCAAACACCTCAGGCTATAAAATATTGTGGTTCATCTTGCTGTGATTTCCAGTTTTAATTTGAATCACTGTTCCCAATTTTGTCCCATCATTGTTCTACCTCTTAAATGTTTTTGTTGATGTCTTTTGTCTCTCTTAATCAGTATTGTGGTAGTATGAAGTTTTTTAAAATCAATTTTTCATTGCATTGTTTTTTACCCTTAAGTGTTCCTTTTTAGTTTTAAGAATTTACTTTTTATTTTTGCCATTCCTGTGGCCAAGAAC